CCCCGGGGGGACGGGGAGCTGCTCCAGCATCCCGGCCTCCCCGTTAAGGACGAGTCCAGCTCGCTTGTTTGCGGGCTGGCCCCTTCCGTTGGACAGCAGAATTGCTCTCTGCCGTGGGGAATTTTCACTCAGTTAAATGGAAGCAAACCAAGGGGTGTCTGCACATGCGGGGGATGATGAAGCCACTGAGGAGCCACCGAGGTCCCTGGCAATGGATGGACACAACCCCCACGAGGCCCCAGCTGCATCTTGACCATGCTCAGTGCTGCACCTTTGGCGTGTGCAGACCCATCTGGCTGACACCAAACAGCCCAAACCCCCAGGGCTGGTCCTGCAGAGCCCACGGCTCTCAGACGTGCTGGGATTCATGACAACTCTCACAATTTGTGGTTTTATTGCAGCCAGGCTGGTGGCAGTGGCAGGAGGGACCTTTACTGGGCCACGTGCTGCAGGAGAAGCATCAGGAAACGGCCCCAGGTCTCCACTGAGCGACACCGCTAACAGGGGCAGCCTGTTCTTCCCCCTTGTTACGGGGAGAGCTCTAATTCCAACGGGGAATTTACCGGGAGAGGTCATAGGGAAGGGTCACATGGGGGGAATGAGGCACTTAACGCCAATGAATTTATGTCAGCTCACTCCAGAAACAAGAAATACGGCAGGAGCCCAGGGTAGGAGCGCTCGGTTGTGGCACGCGGCCTCCCGGCTGCATCCGCAGCGCTTCCCGCGAGGCCCAAAGCAGCCGCGCGTCGCTCCCCCGAAACAGCAGGAACCGAACCGGGAAACACGAGCGGGAAGCCGGAGCGCAGGGATCCCGGCGGCCGCCTGGGCTCTGCCGTGTTTCCAAAGCCACCTACCGGGTCCTGGAGCCAGCCGGCCTGCCCAAACCGAGCGTCGCTTCAGCTCAAGAAGGTCCAGGCAGAGCCTCATCTCCCTTTACAGGGGAATGAGGAACGTTTCTCCCGAGGGCAGCTAGGAAAGGAGTCAAACTTGCCCAGCAAAGCACTGCGGGGAGCCGGCGCTCTCCTGATGTTCCTGATGGGATTCCACAGGTTCCGGAGCCCTCCACGTGGCTGGGAGCCCTCAGCGAGTGTCAGCACTTAGCAGGAAGCCCCTGGTTATTAATTTCCATTAGGCAACAGACGGATGAAGCGGGAAATGCCAAACGTGCACATGTTGAAGAGACACCTCGGGACAGGCTAACGCAAAGGGACAGGGCTGTCCCCAGAGCCAGGAGTCTGGAAAATCCCTTCAAGCCTTAGGAAAAAAAATGAATGCATCCCAAGACACACGTGCTGAATCCCTGGAAAGTGTAAGACTACTCGAACGCTCTATTTTTTCTTTTACCAAACATTAAAGCTATGAAATTATAGTTATTAAAATCATCGCGCTTTACTGTGGTGGTACCTATGGGATTTTGTAATCACACGCAGAGCAGGAAAGTGACCCCAAGCAAGGTTTTCCCTTCAAAGATCTGCACTTTGGGGCCTGGTTTATTCAGAAGAGCGGGCAGAAGCACCACAGGCAGCAGCAGCAGCAGAAGTGTCTCGAGAAGGTCGTGCTCCCGAACAGGACCCACCTGCACCCCTCTTAGCTCTCCTAGCAATCTCATGAAACTTAAAAAATAATCAGTGATTAGTTTCTCACTTAAGTGCCGTTTACTTAACGGCAGATTGCAGCGTTTGCTCCAGTTGCTAATTCTCCTGGCACCTGGGGAGCAGGGGACTCCCTGGGTGACACTGTCACCCGCTGACATCTCCAGGAGCAGCTGACAAGAGGCACCTCCATGGGCTGTATTTTTTTCCACCTACCTTCCCCGAGGTTCCCCTATTAACCACAATAAACACTGCAAAACACATCCCAAAAGGGGAAAATTGGATTCTTTGCTCTTAAAGCAGCCAGGAAAAGGAAAATATATGTATATATATAGTTAAAACTGTGGTGGAGGGGAATGGAAAGGGGTAGATAGATATTGGAGGGACAGGGCAGAGAAGGGCAGACCCCGCTGGCAGCAGAAGCCTTTGGAGGGCTGCGCTGGGTGTCTAACACAGCACGTGCCCCTGGCCGGCGGCTCCCTGGGCTCCCTGCGGCAGCTCCGCGGCTCCCGACATGGCCCTGGGCCCATTCCCAGTTGCAAAGAGGCGGGAGGCCTCTCGGGATCCCCACGGGATCTGCCAAACTGCCTTTGATTAACGGCATCTCCGGGGCGCCCGGGGTTTACTCGGCCGCGGGTGAGCGCGGGGGCAAGCGCTGGGCTCCGTATAAAGACCAGCCAAACACAGCAAGCAGCATCTTCCGGACACAGATTGCTGCAAATCCGCCGACCTCATAGACATTTGCTTTTCTCTGGCTTCAGAGCCGCTCGGCATCGCTGCAGAGGGGAACGGGAGATGCCCAAGCCGGGGTGAGGAGCAGGCGGGATGCGGGATGCAGCGAGGCCGGGGCTCGGGCGAGCGCGCTGCTCGCAACAGGGCCGCACTCAGCACTGCGGCTGCTTCCGTGAAAAAAAACATTTCACTTCTCCATGCAAACAGATCTTTGTCACGTAGCGGCTCCCGGATAGCCCCGGCAAGCCCCTGGGGCTGGAGGAATTCCCATGGACCCAGCAGCAGCAAGTTCATCACGCCACGAGAAAGCAAATCCCCCCCAGCAGCTCTGCAGCTTGCACGGAGCAGCCCAGCCAACCTGTCCCTTGGAGCCCTGGACATATATATGTATGCCTGCCTGTAAATACATATGTGTATATATATATATATATAAAATCATTAGTGAGCTGCCGAGCTCACCACCCGCTTTCCAACGCAAGTGAGGGGCTCCAGAGCGCAGAGAGCACTTGACTCAGCTCCATCTTGTGTTTCTGCTTTTGACACGACAAGTGGCACTACAGCTCGGGAGGATAAAACCCAGACAGCTGCGAAACACGGATAAAAGCGGGACGATTCAGATTAAAAACCCATTTTCCTCTGCGTTTCTCTGAATACCTACCCCTCTCCCAACAGCTGTCCTGCATGGAAGATAGCAAAAAGAGAGGATTTCTCATCATCTCCGGCTGGCTTGGAAATCCTAGCTGCCTGAATTATGCCTTATTGTGCCTCGGTGCAGATTATTTTGAAATAATCACCCGCGGGAAGTGTGCAATCAGCACCGCTCTGGGCAAGAGAGAAATGGGGTCAGCAAGAAGCGCTGCCCTCGGGTCAAAAATCAAGAGCTGAACCCCAGGGAATACTGCGGGGTGCGATGACAGAAGAGCAGCCGCTGGCATCGTTCTTGGGAGCTGCAGGTGCTCGTTGCAACCTCGTGGCAGCCCAAGAAGCTCCCGCGCAGGAGCAGGCGCCGCGGGTCCGCGTGAGGCCGGTCCGCGAGCCGGTTCCTGCCCTGCAACGGGCATGTGAAGAGGACTCGCAGCCCCAC